GGGCAAAAAAATTAAAAAATGAAGAAGATATCAAACAAGCACTGGTTCAATTTTTCGCATCAAAAGATACAACATTTTTCAAAAATGGAATATACAAACTGCCCTCATGCTGGTAAGGAGTCATTAATGATAATGGCAATTACATTATTTTAAAAATATTTATTGACGGTAAGAAAAATTTGCACTTTGTTTTATTCCAAAAATGGACAGAACTTTCCGGTAGACCGTATATTATGCCGTTTCCAAAAATGTACAGAACTTTCTGGTAGACCAAATATTAAAGAAAACATAAATGTATTCCAGAAAATAAAAACAAAAAACTGCATAGTAAATTTTAAAATACATAGTTTTTTATAGTTAAAAATGTTAAATATATATGAACATAAAGCACTTTTTTAATTTTAAATGAACACCACAGAAAGAACTTAAAAGATACCTGACACAATTCTTACCATTTATGAATCAAATGTTAAGTAAAAATTATATTTCAATAGTTTGAGGGGGGAACAGCAGTAACAAATTAATAAAAAAAATAAAATATAAGAAACTTTTTTAAACAAAAGTTAATAGCAGCTGCATGTCTCAAATCATATCAAACATTTAATACCTTTTTAGAACCACAGCATCACCCATAAAAGGGGCATATTTACAAAGTCCATATGTTGTAAGATTAACGCAAAGTAAATCCTTATACCTTATTTACAAATTATAATATTCTTACAGTAAATATGATAGTGACATAAAATTCAGAGGTATTTTGCTGAAATATATTTAGCTTATGGTTAGAATTCATATAAACTGAAAGAAAGAGCATCCCACATTTACAAGTTAGTAGACAGATGTATGCTAAATAAATAAACTTCCAAACATACTTAAAACACTAACTTTAATAAATTACTTAACAACATATTTCAAAAATATAAAAAAATAACCAAATTATAAATTTCTCAATGCTTATTTACAGTATATATTTCATGAATTGATCTTCTCACATCTAAGCAGTTTAGTTAAAAATTATAAAAATTTATACATGAATAATTTATAAATACAAGGTGATTATAATTAAAGCTCTGACTTCAAAATGCTATAAAGGAAGAAGCACTAGACAGAATAATGTGGATATACATGAAGCAATGGAATTTTGTTTAGCAAAGGGAAAAAAAGAATACAGTCAAAAGTCGTTAATTCGGACACCCATAATCCGGACCTCAAAGCTAAAAACTTTCTGCGCATGCGCCGCGTTGGCACATGCGCACAGGCGTTTTACGCGTACGCGTAAGACCTTGACTACTGCGCATATGCGTGTGCGCAAGTGCAGAATACGTCTTCACTTGCGCGTTTAATGTATAACGGACGGTGTAAGCTAAAATTATCTAATTATCTATTTCAGTTAATGTTAATGATTGCGTTGTTCCTTAATCTTCGAATTGGATCCCGCTTATTATTTTTTGCAGACTGTAAGAGCAATTTTATAAAAGTAAACTTGAACTTTCGATTATGTCAAATAGAATTTCCGATGCTGGAACTTCCAAAGGATCAACAAAACGAAAGTATGTTTCGATATCCAACAAACAAAAAGTGGAATTGCTGCAAAAAATGGATAAAGACATGAAGAATGTGACAGAGAGGTTAGTGAAAACGAAAAAATTTCGATTGACAAGTTAGTAGGTATTCTCGGCACAGCAATTAACGGGACTTGAACAGCGGAACTTTGTAACTGAACAAGAAATTATGTCTGTTTATAGAATTAAAGAGAAAGTATTAGCACATAAAGCGAAGCAACTTAAACAACTTACATTGAAAGAAATGTTTAATTTAATAAAATAAACAAATAAATATTAGGATCTTTTTTTTTTTTTTTTTTTTTAATTTTGATACACTTTAGATCATAATTGTTTTTTATTTCATAAATTACGGTTTCATATTTTTAATTTTAGAATTTCTGCATGCCATCTTACGAGATTTAAACTGATGATCTATAATCCGGAAAAATCGATAATCTGGAATCGCCGAACTCCCGACGAGTCTGGATTAACGACTTTTGACTGTACTTCCAAAATGCAGCAATAGATGATGTTGTAGTGGTCAAAACACAGGATTAATACTAACCGAAGGAAAACAATAGTCAGATACGAAATAATGACAATATTACTAACAATATGCAATTTCAGAATTCAAGGAAGCATGAAAAAGAAATTATTTAGCAAGCACTTACGGATGATAGAAGAAATGAAGATACAAGGTGGATGTTACACAAAAAATAATAATGTATCCCTGGTGCATTATTCATGCCTTCAAGTGAGTGCATAATCCAGCCACTGTACCCAGCACATTTGATGTGCCTCCAAAGACAGAAACCGTAAGGATTAAGGTTAGATGAACAAGGTGCCTAGGCAGTTGGAAAGTGACAGCTAACAATTCTGTCATTTCGGAAATGGGTGTTCAGCGGCTGTTTCATTGGTATTGCAATATGCAGGGATATGCCACCTTGTACAAAAATTGTGCTATCCATACACTTATGCTATTGAATCATTAGAATAATATGCAAAAGAGATTCATAAAATTGGCCTAAAGGAATAGATAGCAGGATCTATCGCCTCGAAAATGAACGGGCCAACAATAAATGATGCCATATACTCTCAACACACAGAAATCTTTACAAAATGATGGGGCAATGGTTGGAGTAGGAATGGATTCTTGTTCGCCCATATTCTTAAATTTCACGTGGCTTCATCTTTTACCCAAAAAATATTCCATGGACATCCTCCATTATTCATTTCCATTCATGCAAGAAATTATAAGGTGAAAGCTTCTCATTGTAGCAAGTCACCAAGAAGCAACTCCTGAGCATATGCAATAAAAGAAGATAACATTGCAGAATGACTCATAAAATTTTAAACTCAGATGACAGGTATGTCTAATGACCAGGCGAATCACCACTCTGCATGTTCTTACACAATGTACTGTTTCTTCCTGCAGTGCTGTAACCTACCACTGATGTCAAAATAATTCTTTTTCTCCCTCTGCCACACTTCCTGTCCAACGAACCACTTTCTTTGAATTTAAGCAAATTACCTTTCCACAGGCGATCTGCAGACACTGGAATCTTAATAAAGTCTGGAACTCCTCAACAGTAGTTAATACATAACCACCCATTCTGGTAAAAAAGTTTCACAAGCAGTGCTCGATCATTCACTGATAGACTCATAATCAGCCACTCAGAGGCAGAGTAATAGAACTTAATGTATGATGCACCAAGCACAGTGCCATCTATCAGTGCATTCGGAAAGCATCCGTTTCCTTCTGTGAAAAAACAAAAATTTCATTTTTTCATGTAAATTCAGATGATCCTAATCTGTACGATTCTGGAATTGGTTCTTTAATTCTAATTAGTTTAAGTAGGTTCTTTAATTCTAATTAGTTTATTTAATTAATTTTAAGTAAGTTTAGAATCTTATTTTTAATACAGAATGTTCTTTAATAAAAGTTGGATTAATGGAAGTATTAAAGAATTATAAACCTTAGTTGTGGAGGGAAAATATTTCATGCTTTTTTATACAGAGTGGTTATAATTAAAGTTCCACTTTAAAATGGTCATAAAAGGAAAACTACTGGACCAAATATTATAAAATTTGGTAACCGTGTAATGCAGGTCATGGAAATTTATTTTCCGCAAAAATAAAGTTCAAAAACTCACCACCAGGGGGAGAACGGCACTGTATGCAATATTGTTAAACGAAATAAGGGTCAGAATATAACGTAACCATTTGTTACATGTGTTTAACATGCTGTATATCCTTAAGAAACGTTGAACCAAACAAAATTACCAGTTAAAGGTGTTAAAGGTGATAAAAGTCGAGTGCGCCATCTGTGTAACAGAGAAATCCATCCCTGAAAAACACAAATTGGTGATTAGAAAATGTGAGATCTCAAATCACTTGTAAAAGTGTCTGCATTCAGGAAATCATTTTCTTACAGATCGCTAATTTGTGATATTTGAAGCCTGAATTTGGCCCTAAGACATGAAGATATCAGTTTAAAACATTTCTTAATCATTTGTAAACTAAAACTTTTTGTGGAGTTATGCAAAACAGCAATGGCTTGTAATTGGCTTACGACAGGAAAAAGCAAATGATTTATGCAAATAACCTAAACAATTTGGTTGAAATTGAAAGATGCGACATACCGACATGTCCATAACACTGCTTCCAATATGCTTAGAGCTGCTGTTGAGAATGCAGTAATATGATTTACCGTGCTTTCAGAAAATGGTGGACACCACACAGAACATGCTTTGTAACACAGAAATGATTAAACACATTTAAAACCGATGTCTTCATGTCTTATTTCGTTTGACAATATTGCATACAGCGCATATTTCTCCCTGGTGGAGAGTTTCTGAACTTTTTTTTTTTTTTTTTTGCAGAAAATAAATTCCCATGACCTCCTTTACACGATTACCAAGTTTGATAACATTTGATCCAGTAGCTTTCCTTTTATGACCAAAGTGGGACTTCAATTATAATCGCCCTGTATTTTAACAGATATATCACAATATAGAAAAGTAACAAAAATATATATTTACACTAACAGTAAAAAATTTAAATTAATGAATAAATTCCAATAAAACAATACACAATAAAAAGTTTGATCAAAATACATTTACACAGAAAAAGATAAGCAACACACAAAGTAAAACTGCTAGAAGAGAGAAGAATTAAATAAATTAGTCAGAGGTTTATGGTGATCAATGAGATAATGGTTGGACTTATTTTGGCATAAAAGGACTGTAAAGGAAAGTAACTCATGCACACCTTGCACGCAAGAAAAATTGTGAAAACCTCCATGCAGTCAGTCTGTTTACCTGGATAATTAACCATGTTTATAAAAAAATTATGGAAAGTTTTCAAGATTGAACAGAACTAAAACTTCCTTTCAGCTCAAAGTTGTTAAGCTGAAAACAAAATTTAATTTTTACAGGCATCAAACTTTCTGATACATTTTTTTTTTTTTTTTTTTTGCAACAGATAAAATTATCTGCATATTTTTCAGGATCAGTCAAACTGGCTTATCACTTTCTAGAATTTTATTTTCAGCTTAAAACCTTCTTCACATGTTTTTTGTTTCACATTCTTACACTAACTGCAAAAGTAAATATAGTTTAATTCATAAAACAATCCAACTTTTTATTTCACTAAATTGTATTACAAATTTATTCATCTTTAGACTGAATACTACAAATATAAATAAGTTTTCCTTAATTAATCTAAAGGCATCTTGTTATGCTTCATTCTCATGTGACGCAGCAGATTATCTCTCCATACAAAGTCACAATTACACATGTCACATTTATATACAGTGCGAATGTCAGAATGTGTAAAAATATGCATTTTAAGACGTTGTCTGCTAGATAAAATTTTTCCACATATGTTGCATTGTAAATGTCCCGCTCCAACTCCTTCAAAATCAAAACATTCTGTAAAAACAAATAATTTTATTACATATATTGCTTACAACATAGAAGAGTACAAATTAAAATCTTGTTTTCTCTGAGATTTTGAAAGAATTGCTATATCAAATAACACTTAATAATAATAATAATACCATGCATGCTAAAAAAACTTTTTGACTCAATACTTGAATATTAAAGAACAGTTTTTCTCAAAAGTATTAAGAAAATTTATCCAGAAAAAGCAGAACTACTATTAAAAAAATATTCAGATATTTAATTATGATGTTAATTATTACTGAAAAATAATAACAGAAATTATACACATATATCCATAGGGAGAGAGTCATATTTTATTGAGCTTTTTTTATATCAATCCATTAGTATACTTAGATTCACTATTATTTCAAGAAATGAGTTTAAACTTTGACATTATACAAAACAAATTTAATGTTGAGGTAAATACAAAAGATGAAAATAGACTCAGTTAGAGGGCACACACAAAAAAAAAATTCAGTTACAGATGCAAAATTCAATATGCAAACATTATACGAAGAGCTATGCTAATGATTAGAGTTTCAGTATAATAATATAAAAATGCTAACCTAATGCAAACAATGCAGCATTTAAAAAGATCAGTCTTCAACCTCAACGACAATTTTGCATTCATATTGAAAGTTATGCATATAGATCCTTTCAAGTACGCCTTTCAGACACATTTGACAAGCAAATAACTGTCTGAGTGACAGGTTGCATCATAGACATAAAAGAAACTCATTGGCCCAACAACCATATCACACAGAATGATACGGTGGTTTTGTGTTTGAAACAAAGGATGACAGAACTCAGAGGTAATGAATGTACAGATGCAGGATGTCCCAGACACACAAATGCTCAAGAGGATTTTACAACTGGAAGAACAACTACAATGCATCAGTATCATCTACTCAAAGAGATTTGCAATTTCTCCGCATTTTCTATTTAAAAGACATACTTTGGAAAAGACTGGGAGAAACTGGAATTAGATCTTCATGTCATTAACATGGCTAACATCTACTTCCCAGTTACAGGCACAGTTGCTTTGGACAGACATTAAGCTCAGTTATCCTGGACAATGACTGGAGACATGCTGTCTTTAATAGTAAATCAAACTTCTCTCTCAGTGCTGATTTATAACTGTATGTGTATGTGTAGGAGGAATGACCAATGTTATGACTGCGCCGTTTATTAACAAGCAACACATGGTTATTGCATCTAGAGTGAAAGTCTGGGCTAAGCTGATTTCTATTTTTCCTGCTAGATAATATGGTGACTCACATGTATGTTTCTGATATTCTGCAACTGAGCTTAATGAACTGCCTATGCCTGTCAAGCTACTCAGATACCATTAACTAACAAGAAAATGCCCATAAGGTTTGACTTTCACAACCTATTTGAGGATTTAATGGCCTTTCAGAGCAATCCAAGTTCCCATTCTTATTGCTAGGTTAAAGTGGGTGAGACAGCAGAATTTCAGCATTAGTCATGTATTATAAATCCCTCCACACTAACTGTATAGTTCTGTACCAGTTATGAGACAGAACACTCTGGGGGATGGTTTGACGGTATTCCATGTATCTTCCCCTACAACCAACCTCTCAAAAGGACTTTCAGCTCGTGGTGCCTTTATTTGCCACACGGACAGTATACACTTACAAACATCCATGCCTTCTCTGGAATTCGAACCCAGGCCCATCACTACGGCAGTCAGCGTCATTGACCACTATATCGGGCGGGCGGCATACGTATTGCCAAAAAAACACATCCGAGACAAGTTGAGAAGCCAACTACAGCCATCTCAAAACGCCATTAAAGTGATTCACCACTGTAGAATTTGTAGCAGAGGACCATTAAAAAAAAAAAAAAAAAACTTAACTGACTTCTTACTGCATTGGATCTAGCCTCAAACAGCTGACAGAGGAAAATGTAATATTTATTAAATATTTCCTTTTGGCCATCCTTTCTTAAAAAAATTATCAAAACTCTAATCATTTTCATACCTCTCCAAATAATAAATATATGATGATGAAAAATTAAATTTTTTTGCTGGTAACAGAGAGCATTCTACTAAGTTTAGATGCAATTAATTAAATCACTGTCTAAAAACATTAGTGTAAAGGAAACTAAGCACACAATTCATTGATTCCATAAATGACAAAAATTTCAAACTCTATTTCATATGATTTTTTAGGCTATGGTAAGGTAAATAACTATTTACAACAAAATTTTGATCTTCAGTAATTTTTTTTAGCTTTGCAACCTGCATGAGTAGTATAGTTTTGATTTATTTATCAAACATATTGCATATAGTTGTTATGAGGAAAAGATTTCTACAGGAAAATAATAATTATACTAAATAACATATAAATTAATTAACTGATAATTATAAACTGATTTTTAATTAAAGATAAATATACATAACTATGCAATTAAAAAAAACCTAACTTTTTGTGATCCATCAAATTGCATGAGAATATAATATAAGAATACACATTAGAAGTCACAGCTCTTCTTCCAAAATTTAACAATAGAGAAATATAGTTACTAAATATATAGCAGCATTATGACAACTTTTTAACCACTTTACACAACACCAGTGAACTAGTTATAATATTTAAAAGTATTATAAACCAGTTTTGCATTAAGCATTACAAATAAATAATATATATATATATATAAAAGCAAGTGTTGAATTTATTCTTAGCAGAAGGCTTAAATATCATATATATACAAGGTAACTTCCAAAAATAAATGCATCACTGCATTATAGAGCTTATGTATGGTTACTTGAATGAATAGTCCTATGCTAAAAATAGACTTTTATTAAAACTTTATACAGATACATAATATAATCAGTATACAGTAGCAGAAGTAGGTTCAGCATCTGAAAACACTGTCAGCAAATCCTCTGCAAAATAGAAATAAATTTTGTAATTTTTATTCTAAAATATATGCTATAAAGAAATCTAACTTCAAAGAAAAATTCATAACACACTGAAAATCTGTCAACTAAAATCACACACACAAAACAAATAAATAAATAAAAATAAAAAAATAATTAATAAAAAAATATAAAAATTGACAAGAATTCTTTATAAATTTAATTTAATGTTTTTACAGTAATTTTTCAAACTAAAATATTTCCCTTTTCTATAATAGCAAAAAAAATGCTGTAAATAATTATACTTCTTACTGTCTTATCTTCAACCATCATAAAATAATTATCTATATCAATAAAAACATATTAACGAAAACATATTATTCAAGAAAACTGCAAACAAAAATATCTTTTGTGATATAATTTTAAATGTATAAATTTCTTAAAATTGATGAATTTTACATATACATATATTAAGAAAATTATTTAGAACATTTAAGAACTTTCTGTAAATGATTCTTGGTATTGGGGGGGGGGGGACTATATGTATCAATAAATTCTAACATATTTATTTAATTTCTAATATGTTTATAACCATTCTCAAATTTAAAAATTTCAATTTTTTCCTATCCTTTTAATTAATTACAATGCAACAAACAAGATACAGTAAGTCAAATATTAAATATTTTCAGATCTAAATGGTCAATGGTAAAACTGAAGTTAACTACATAAGTGAACAACAACTCTTAAAAATATGCATCAGATTAGAAACAAATGTACTATGCAAATATTAAAAAAAAAAAAAAAAAAAATATTGGATATTTTGAAGGTAAGTTTAAATCATATCAGCATTATATTACAAATAAAGATTAAAATTAATAAGAATTGAATTTATTGTTTGTAAATTTTCTTTTCTTTCTTGGTCTAGAAAATTCTGTTAATTTCAGATTCATAACTGGTTGAATCCTTTAGACCCATAATTATGCCAGAAATATCACAGTTAAATGCAAATACGTATTGCTGGCAGTAACAAGTCATAAATACTGTAGTGAAATTAAACAAGTAGGTTATAATAAGTTACTCCTTACATACTGTTAAATCTGTAGTTAACTTTTTCACCAAATCATAGCTCAAGACGATATCATAGTTCCAGTAAGAACAGAAATTTTACTTCCTGGATCCACAGCCGAAAGCAGAAATGTTCAGTACAGTGTAATGGAATATCCCAAGAATTGTAACATCCTGCAAGGATTACTAGTAGCTTTAGCCCTTGTTGACTTAATAAGGTTACTCACTGTTATCATAATGACAACTAAGCCAAAATCATTTGAAAGTTGTAGTAGTTGTAGCATACACTCCAGGGACCTGTGTGAAAGGTCCCCATAGTCTGCCAATCTCTGTACCTTTGGAGACCTTAACATCAGGGGGAGTTATTGCAGAATGCACACATAATTCCAGGGTTTGTACACATTTCTGCACACGAAAATTAAGTACTTTTAAGGACTTTTAAGGACCATTAATGAAAAAATTAAGGACCTATGAGCGAATGGGAACTGAATAAATTCAATTAAAAATATTATCTATGCCTGAACTTCACTTTTGTAATACCATCCTAAAAACTAAAATAGATCCGTAAGTAGGATGCATTATTATTAAACATGACTTAATTAACATAATCATTATTAGGTCTGAGAATAAAATATATGAAATTTATCAAGGAGCATTATATATTTTACACTTATAAGGACTGTACATATTTGAAAGGAGATAAGTAACATTTTATTTACGTTTTACTAACAGTTAGTTTTATGTTGATTTTAATTCATACCTCATTTTGTCACATACTTGCTCAGTCTAGAGCTTTAGTAAATAGTAAGCAGATTTTATGTCAAGCGGCATAGGTTAAAATGAGAAGTAAAATCATAATCAGCATGATGAACAACAAAAGGACTGGCTGTTGTCACTGCTGCTGCTTACCTGCAGGGGTTGTGACTCAGTTAATATACTTTAAGGTTGTGATAAGGTCACATAAAAGAAGAAGAGACTGAAGATTTATATGGACAAGGATGTCTCGTGAGCATAAGCTGAAAATTATCATTTTTTAACTTACAAATACATTTTCAATAGTTGTTAAAATAGACTTTATTAAAATAATTAAATCGTTGGCAATGTTAAAAACACAAGCTCGAGAGCCACGAATTGCTCTCGCATGAAAAATGTATAGAATTTGATTTTAAGAAAAGGATTTAGGTTTTTCTCTTCTGAATTGTATGTAGCCATTTTTGGGGGGTGTTCAATAAAATTTTCATGTGGTGTTCTCTCATTAGTGTTTTCATTGGAGTTCAACATCACACTGTTGAAGCATTAACACTACACCACAGCAGTAAATATTAAAAATTGGTGGCAGCTTTTAGGGATTGTTCCTGAGAGTAAATTTAGGAACGGACTTTTTCGCCTGTGAACTTGAGTTTTATGTGAACAGTCAAGACTTTCTTCTCTTCAAGAACGATCTAATTTTGCGTGCAAGGACAGTTTGCGTGGTGAAGCCTCTTCAGTGACAAGTGGCAGTGTGTCAGAAGGGAACGCCGGAGGAAGCGTGATCTAGTGCCACAAAATAGTGAAATTTCCCGGAAGAATATACAAGTAGTGCCAGGAGAGTCAATCGAAGGCATATAGTTCTGTTTTTGGGGATCAAAAGTTTTCTGGTGGTTATTGAAAGTTAAGCTTGTGGTTACTGTTGCTAATTGAAATTAAATTGTTTGCTCTACTGTTTTAGTAACTGTTTAAATTGTATGAAGTATTGTAACGGTATGCTTTAGAAAAATTTAGTTTTTAAATCAGTCCAGAGTCAGAGGACAATATTTATATAGTTGATATAGAGCAGGAAAAGGTTGCCTCTTAATTAGCATTTTTTATATACGCTTGTATGTAGGTATAGATATTATCATTAAGTGTTGTAAGGCAATTTGTGTTCAGAATTGTTAGATAATTATTCAGTTTTGGAGAGATAGACCTGTTGTTGTTTTCGTGTTATTGTATTTCAGGGTAGGTTATTTTTCTTTAATTTTCCATAATGGGTGAGTTTATGAGGAAATTTACTAAAGCTCTGCTATTGGAGTTAGCGGAGGAGTTTGAAACAAATGTGTCTCAGGCAAACAGAGTTGGCTGGTTGGTTGGTTGGTAACGGAGGACGGGGACGCCTGATGTCTAACAGAGGTAAACAGGCATGTGTCCCACGCCCTCCACTAACCAGGAACAACTCCCTGGGGCCTCAAGAGGCCGCCTCGGGAGCTTTTTAGGATGTTAACAAGAGCAGTTACATGGCCATACAAGGGCAGATTGCATTCGTTTTACCGTTTTGACATTTGTTGCTGCAATTTGCTATGGTAATTTTGCACATTCACAATAAAATTCAAATAAAGATACAAATTAAATATACAGAAACAAAAATACAGTTACAAAATAATAGGATTAAAATACAGGCTCATAGGAAATAAAAATAAAAATAAATAAAAATAAAAAATTAAGTATTATGCATATACAGAAGAGGAAATGTTAAATACATTTGATTGTACATTATTTGAAAGGTGTCTGTAATAGAGACTTATGTAAGTTTTAGGAGTAGACTTAGGAGTAACTTATGTGTCTGAGAATGTGGAACTGTACGCTGACTTAGTTAGTGTATCATGCCTTGAGAGTTTTGGTTAATGAGGAGAGCACAAATCTTGGCCCATTCTCTTGAGCTTGTTAACAACTTTGCAAATTGTATTTACTGCCGGTTTGTGCTTTATAAGGAAGCAGTGGATAAGCTTCAACTATTGTTGATGGGAAGAGGGAGGTGATTTCCTGCTGTCAGATGACATTCAAAAACATAGTGGTCTGGGGAGCCTTCCGCTCCGCAGGTGCATATGTCCGTGGTTCGTTATGCCAATGTCTATTGAAGTAATGTCGGGAATGGGCCGTGTCCCGTAATATAAGCCGTAAGAGGAGCTATTGCAATGTTGCGTTCAGTGCTGGGACTTTCGGTAGGTAGCTGTATGTACGTCTTCCAGTTGTGCAGTTCGTCCAGTCTTTCTGCCAAAGGTTCAGGCCTTGACCCCGTAATAGCCCTTTGAGGTAGGAAGGAGGGGCTAGGGATAGGATGTGATTTTTTCAGCTTCTGGATCAGTGGCTGGCTGCTTGCTTGGCCAGGCTATCAGCTGCTTCATTCCCCTCATTTTCTGCATGTGCCTTGGTCCATGTTAAGGAGAGATGTTTCTGCGGGTTGCGCTGTAAAAGTTGTTGTAATTTGATGATCAAGGGCGAGGTGTGGTTGTGATTATCTAGTGCTAGAAGCGTTGACATACTGTCAGTGAAAATTTTCGCCCGTTCTACATTATTATTGAAAATGTAATCTACAGCGGTTATAATTGCTTGCACCTCTGCCTGGAACACACTGTTGTTTAAGTCAAGGCGTCCTTTCCATACATGGATGATTCTTCCTTTGTCATAGTGTGCAAAGGCGCTGCTTGCTCCGTCTTCCTGCTTAGAGCAGTCGGTGTATATTTGCAATAGAGTAAGAGAAATTAGGCAGGCTGTTCTAAATGGCGAGAACTATGAAGAAGAAGCTGCGAAAGAATACGCGGCAAGAATTTGGGCTGCGGCTGAGCAGGTAAAAGCAGAAGAAATAGCTGAATAAGAGAGAGCAGAACGGGAACGTGAACAAGAGAGAGCAGAACGGGAGCGAGTTTTTGAATTGGAAAGGTTAAAACTGATGAATGTGGTTCAGAATAATAGCCTAGCTTCCACGGTTTCAAAAGTTGAACAAATCTAGAGAAAAAAAAGTTAATTTGAAAGATCTAGTACCGCGTTTTGAACCGAGTAATATAGATATTTCATTATTCTTTATGCTATTTGAGAAACAAGCTCAAAAAGAGAACGTTAATGAGATTGATTGGGTCTCGCAATTAATTCCTTTATTACCTTACGATGTAGCCCAGTTAATAGTGAAAGAACCAGCGGATAAAGGGGATGATTATCAGCATGTTAAGAAATTACTCATGCAGAGATTCAAGCTTAGTTCTTGGGCACTAAAAACAAAATTTGAAGAACATTCTAGAAAAAACGGAATGTTATGGGTGGATTTAGTGTATG